TGGAACCTGCTCGTCATTTCTTGTTGCTTGAATGTCTAAAACCTGATGTCATACACAAGGATGTTTCTGTTGGTGAGGCTGAATACCTCTAGGGCATCTGCAGTGTGTGTGAGGCATGCCCCACTTAAAGAATCAAGCATCTGAAGACACTGGCCAGCAGCACAGAGCTCACGTCGTACGTCACGCATGCGTCACGCAGCAGCGGGCAGCTTTTAGAAATGCACCTTTCTTTGGGATTTAAAGGGACTTTATGGAGTTTAGAATTTTTATGCTCGCGATTGCCCCCTCAGGCCAAAAGCATAACGGCAGCTTCAATAGTAGGCTCGTGCACGAGGCGCGCATGCTGTACGTGCACACTCCTTAACGAAAATAACAGCTGAGACAGTCCCGTGTGTGTGTGTGCGTGCGTGCGTGCGCGTGTGTGTGTGTGTGGCCCGGAGGACAGGTGAACACGCAGCTAATTAATTAAATAATTTGGTTCTGTACCTTTCTCTTCAGCACAGCCGACAAAGGTTTATGATGGGTCAGTCCTCCTGCACGCTCAGATCATTCCCTTCCCTTGCTTGAAACATTGTTCCAAAATGAAAGTTGAACCCACATCTTTTTTATCTGTGAATTCAATGCCGTTCAGCGAGTCTCAAATGAAAATTTGGGCATCTTACTGTAAAAAAATATACCAATAATGTAAAAAATAAACTATGTTCACATCCAGAATCAAACCCGGGTCTGCTGCACGAGAGTCCGACTAGGTGAGCTAAAGCACCAGTGGCGTCTTCTGTATCTGTAACATTTATATCCTTGATGACAGCTGAAACAACGTTCAAAGAACTGTTCAGAGCGAAAAAGGCTATTTTGTTGCTAATTTGCAGGAAATATCTAGAAGAAAGTAGCTAAGGGTCCTCAGAAATGTAGCTAGGTTCATCACTAGGCGTTAGGAACAGCGGCAAAGTCGCCGAGTTGGCACTACCTCTCTCTCTGCTGCTAAATCTACTGATAGCAAATGCTACGGGCGATGCCTGAGCGTGAACGCGCATGAAGCAGCCTGCTCGACCCGAGCATCTCTCTTTTTCTGTGATTTTACAGAAAAACAGGCAATCACAGTAAAAATGCCAGGGCTCATTCTACAGGACCAGGGCATTGCAGGAGAATGTATGAAGAAGAAATTTATTATTTCTATACACGTTTTGGCTGTCAAACTTCCATAATGCCCCTTTAAGGGGGTATGTGTGGCGACTGATACTCCTGCTGCAGGAATCTGGCAGACGTACCTGCGCAGGTGCTGACAGGCCAGTGGAAGCACTGGAGTTGTGTCGCTCATCGTGTTGTAACTGTCTAATCTTCATGCTGATCAGGTGCAGGCAAGTGAGAGGATTACTTCATGTTATAACTTGAATTAGGTGTGAGTTTAAACTTGCAGCAGGTTGGTTATGAAATCTGTAGCACTGATGGAGACGAGCGCACTCACACAGTCGTTGGTCGAGTTCGTTCTTTAATAATAACAATAACAATAATAATAATTACAACAATAATAACAATATTAATAATAACAATAACAACAATAATAACAATGATAACATAATAACAATAACGACAATATTAATAATAATAACAATAACAATAACAAAAAAATTATAGCTGAAGGTCAGAGCTGGATGAAGCTAGGAGGACCACATCATCCGCAAAAAGCAGAGACGAGATTCTCCTGCCACCAAACTCGACACACTCCACACCACGGCTGCGTCTAGAAATTCTGTCCATAAAAGTGATGAACAGAACCGGTGACAAAGGGCAGCCCTGGCGGAGTCCAACCCTCACTGGGAACAGGTCCGACTTACTACCGGCTATGCGGACCAAACTCACGCTCCTCTGGTAAAGGGACTGAATGGCCCTTAACAGAAAGCCACCCACCCCATACTCCTAGAGCGTCCCCCACAGGGTGCCCCTGGGGACACGGTCATAAGCCTTCTCCAAATCCACAAAACACATGTGGATTGGTTGGGCAAACTCCCATGCCCCCTCCATCACCCTTGCAAGGGTATAGAGCTGGTCCACAGTTCCACGGCCAGGACGAAAACCACATTGCTCCTCCTCTATCTGAGATTCAACTATCGATCGGACCCTCCTCTCCAGTACCCTGGAGTAGACCTTTCCAGGGAGGCTGAGGAGTGTGATCCCCCTATAGTTGGAACACACCCTCAGGTCACCCTTCTTAAAGATGGGGACCACCACCCCGGTCTGCCACTCCCTAGGAACTGCCCCCGATGACCACGCAATGTTGTAGAGACGTGTCAACCATGACAGCCCTACAACATCCATAGCCTTAAGATACCCAGGACGAACCTCATCCGCCCCCGGGGCTCCGCCGCTGTGTAGTTGTTTGACTACCTCAGCAACTTCTGCCCCCGAGATCGGACAGTCCATCCCCAGGCCTCCCAGCTCTGGTTCCTCCTCGGAATGCGCATTGGTGGGATTGAGGAGCTCCTCAAAGTATTCCTTCCACCGTCCGACTATAGCCTCAGTTGACGTCAGCAGCTCCCCATCCCCACTGTAAACAGTGTGAGCGAGTTGCTGCCTTCCTCTCCTGAGGCGCCGGACAGTTTGCCAGAACCTCTTTGGAGCCGATCGATAGTCTTTCTCCATGGCCTCACCAAACTCCTCCCACGCCCGAGATTTTGCCTCGGCAACTGCCACTGCTGCACCCCGCTTGGCTATCCGGTACCTGTCTGCTGCCTCCGGAGACCTTCAGCTCTTGCTGGGTAGGTTCGCGGCCGAATGTGAAGCGGCTGGGATGAGGATCAGCACCTCCAAATCTGAGACCATGGTTCTCGACCGGAAAAGGGTGGCTTGCCACCTCCGGGTCGGGGGTGAGGTCCTACCTCAAGTGGAGGAGTTTAAGTATCTCGGGGTCTTGTTCACGAGTGAGGGTAGGAGGGATCGGGAGATCGACAGGCGGATTGGTTCGGCGTCTGCAGTGATGCGGACGCTGAGCCGATCTGTCGTGGGGAAGAGGGAGCTGAGCCAGAAAGCCAGGCTCTCGATTTACCGGTCGATCTACGTCCCAATCCTCACCTATGGTCATGAGCTTTGGGTAATGACCGAAAGAACGAGATCGCGGATACAAGCGGCCGAAATGAGTTTCCTCCGTAGGGTGGCCGGGCTCAGCCTTAGAGATAGGGTGAGGAGCTCGGACATTCGGGAGGGACTCGGAGTAGAACCGCTGCTCCTCCGGATCGAAAGGAGCCAGTTGAGGTGGTTTGGGCATCTGGTCAGGATGCCTCCTGGACGCCTCCCCGGGGAGGTGTTTCGGGCATGTCCTGCCGGCAGAAGGCCCCCGGGTCGACCCAGGACACGTTGGAGAGGTTACATCTCCAATCTGGTCCGGGAACGCCTTGGGGTCCTGCCGGAGGAGCTGGTGGACAAGGCCGGGGAGAGGACGGCCTGGAGCTCCCTAATTGGGATGCTGCCCCCGCGACCCGGACCCGGATAAGCGGAGGAAGACGAAGACGACGAAAAAAATAATAATAATTACAACAACAATAATAACAATACTAATAACAACAATAATAACAATAACAATCAAGAATAAGGTCATTTAAACAATAGAATTACACAGGAGATACTATAAATGACAGAGTGGAGGGTTTGTGGACTAGAGAGTGTAAGCCAGTTTGAACAGGATTTGGATTTGAATGAGAGGAGTTAGTCTGTTTTTCGGATGTCAGGAGGAAGGGAGTACCAGAGCCGAGGAGCAGAGCGACGGGAAGCTCTGTTTCCAGCGGCGGTGAGACGAGCAGGAGGAGCCACCAGGGAGCGAGATGGTCAGATCCCTCCAGTCAACAGGGTGGCTCCAGCAGCTAACGCTAACGTTTTAGCTCAAACGTCAGCCCTCGAGAGCCAAGATCCTGCAGGTTTTAGATGTTTCTCTGCTCCAACACGCCTAGTTTTAATTAACAAGATTGTAGACCTTAGACATGCTGCAGAGGCCGTTTAGTCATTGAATCAGAAGCGTTTAGAGCAGGAATGCAGCAACCGCTTCTCCAGGACCTGAACTGGATAGCTCTACTTTTGTTTGGATGTTTTTAGTGGCCATCTTTAGCCAGGCTGACTGGATGCCCATCAGGTGTAGGTGAACAACCAGTGGCCACTTTGTGAGGGTTTCACTAAAATCCACAAAGCCAGATTAAATGACTGAATTACAGAAAACATCGTGAGAAGTTTAGACCAAGATGGAAATGGAACGTTTTCCTCATGTGTTTCTTTTCTGGTAGGGATTCAGTTCAGATCTCTGGCTTCAAAGTGATTCACTTGGTCAAGCCGTGTGAGATTATCAGACATAAATCCCTAATCCAAACATGCAATTTAGAAGGAAACAGGATCTGGACACGTTGTTACAGGAGTCCAGTCATAATCTGCAAAGTGAAATTCCTCACACCTGACCGTAAAACACCCAAAAGGTGGAACTGACCGGACTCGTCCCATGTTTGTGAGACACTGAACCTGCTGTTTTTGTTCAAGTTCAGGCAGAAACGTCTGAAAAGTCCAGTAACGGTCGTGTTCTCAGAGATTTTAATGCACACACACACGCACACACGAGTCCAAACCTGACGAGTGAGTTCCCGATTGCCTAACGCCAGCAGCAGGCTGCTCCCACTGCTGTTTGGGCGGGACTTGGGGTCAAAGGTCGGCTGAGAATTCCTGACATGCTGCGTTTTCACCCCCCCGCGTGAGTTCGCTCTCCCTCCTCCTGACGTCGCCGCCGCTGCCGCTTCGTGCTGTCGATTTCAGGTCAGAGTGCCTCGCTGCGGGGTCGGAGGGCCCAACGTGGGATCTGTCACTCCAGCAGAGGAGACGGCAGAACGACAGGCTTGTGCAGAGCCGCTGCACGCACGCCAGAATGTTTAGGAATGAGTGAGAAGATGGGCGTGGAGTCAGATGTGTCCTCATGATTTGTGGTTGAGGAATTCTGGGAAATCATTGCTTTGGTTCTCTTTCTGTCGCAGGTTTGCTCCATCGCTGTTGCTTTGAAAACACAAGACCAGGATGGCGATGCAAAGTAAGAAACCCCCTTTCTGTTCATTTTACCATCTTCTTTCCAATAATCCAGGCAGATTGTGCTAATCTGGTCTAAAATGTGACCAACTCCTCAGCAACACCAAGAAATCCTTTAAAGGAAGTAATCCGCCTGCATCCTGATAACACTTTAACCCACTTTGTGAGGTTTCAGTCCGACGATCGGATTTACATTCATGTGACTTATGAATTTATATTTATGAATGAAATCATCATATTTGCGTTCTGTCCATAAAAAATCACATGCAGGACCAGACAAAGGAATTTAACACATGGAAATAAATACTAAGGAAGAAAATATTAATTCAAATGGTAAAATTTGGCCTGAAGATGAATATTTACATGGAAAAAAGTTATAATTTGTCGTACAAAAAGGGAGAAACAAAACTACTAATGATGAAGTCAGTCATCGTCGCATGTTGGTGGTGACATCACACGACGGTGAAATTCCTGTCTGCATGTGACCCGTCCTCGTGGGGAGCTGCAGCGGCGGCTGTGCTCGGGAACTACCTGCTGGTTCAACTCCCAGTCCAACCCCCTAAAGCTGAGGCTGAGGCGTTGGGTCCCATCGTTAGTCTTTGGTACGACCCGACTGGGATTTGAACCCCCATCTCCCAGTCCCAGGGCGGACGCTTTACCACTAGGCCACTGAGAAGGTTAAGAAACACTAAATAAGCTGATTGTAGTGTAATCTAATTCATCAAATCTCATTTTTTCTATTGGATTAAGCGTCAGTTTCGCCCGGTAATCTGATGCACTTTTCTTTAAGAATTTTCTTTGTTAAATAAAAAGTGGAGGCAAAACAGGAAATACTATTTTTATTTGCTGTTTTTGCATTTGTTGGCTTTCTGTATCACTTTAAATAGAAACGGCTTCATGATTATGACCTCCATCTTCAGCTAACGCTTAGGTAAAGGTCACTTCCTGCAGACGTCTGAAGGTTTAAGAGTAGATGGAAGGTTTCTGCTCTGAACCCCGGTCCTGCGCCGTCGGACTGGAATGATGGAGATCACTCAGCCGTGGTGAATTCAACTAAAGCTAAATCCCTAATCTGTGACGGGAATAATGGCGCTCATCGCTGTATCAGTGACGCATCATCAGACAAATAATTTTCCCTAACTTTCCAAAGCTGTTCCCGTTACCGATGAGGAAATGCAGCGTGGGTAGTTGTACCTGATTGCTGTTTTAGTCCATAACGGGACATCCACCGGCTGTTTTAGTCCATAACAGAATGTCTACCGGCTGTTTTAGTCCATAACGGGACATCCACCGGCTGTTTTAGTCCATAACAGAATGTCTACCGGCTGTTTTAGTCCATAACGGGACATCCACCGGCTGTTTTAGTCCATAACAGAATGTCTAGCGGCTGTTTTAGTCCATAACGGGACATCTACCGGCTGTTTTAGTCCATAACGGGACATCTACCGGCTGTTTTAGTCCATAACGGGACATCTACCGGCTGTTTTAGTCCATAACGGGACGTCTACCGGCTGTTTTAGTCCATAACGGGACGTCTACCGGCTGTTTTAGTCCATAACGGGACGTCTACCGGCCGTTTTAGTCCATAACGGGACGTCCACCAGCCGTTTTAGTCCATAACGGGACGTCCACCAGCTGTTTTAGTCCATAACGGGACATCTACCGGCTGTTTTAGTCCATAACGGGACATCTACCAGCTGTTTTAGTCCATAACGGGACATCTACCAGCTGTTTTAGTCCATAACGGGACGTCTACCGGCCGTTTTAGTCCATAACGGGACATCTACCAGCTGTTTTAGTCCATAACGGGACGTCTACCGGCTGTTTTAGTCCATAACGGGACGTCCACCGGCCGTTTTAGTCCATAACGGGACGTCCACCAGCCGTTTCAGTCCATAACAGAATGTCTACCGGCTGTTTCAATCCATAACGGGACGTCCACCGGCTGTATCAGTCCATAACGGGACGTCCACCGGCTGTTTCAGTCCATAACGGGACGTCTACCGGCCGTTTTAGTCCATAACGGGACGTCCACCGGCCGTTTTAGTCCATAACGGGACGTCCACCAGCCGTTTCAGTCCATAACAGAATGTCTACCGGCTGTTTCAGTCCATAACGGGACGTCCACCGGCTGTATCAGTCCATAACGGGACGTCCACCGGCTGTATCAGTCCATAACGGGACGTCCACCGGCTGTATCAGTCCATAACGGGACGTCCACCGGCTGTATCAGTCCATAACGGGACGTCCACCGGCTGTTTCAGTCCATAACGGGACGTCTTCCGGCTGTTTCCGTCCATAACGGGACGTCCACCGGCTGTTTCTGTCCATAACGGGACGTCCACCGGCTGTTTCAGTCCATAACGGGACGTCTTCCGGCTGTTTTAGTCCTTAACGGGACATCTACCGGCTGTTTTAGTCCATAACGGGACATCTACCGGCTGTTTTAGTCCATAACGGGACATCTACCGGCTGTTTTAGTCCATAACGGGACATCTACCAGCTGTTTTAGTCCATAACGGGACGTCTACCGGCTGTTTTAGTCCATAACGGGACGTCTACCGGCCGTTTTAGTCCATAACAGAATGTCTACCGGCTGTTGCAGTCCATAACGGGACGTCCACCGGCTGTTTCAGTCCATAACGGGACGTCCACCGGCTGTTTCAGTCCATAACGGGACGTCCACCGGCTGTTTCAGTCCATAACGGGACGTCCACCGGCTGTTTCAGTCCATAACGGGACGTCCACCGGCCGTTTTAGTCCATAACAGAATGTCTACCGGCTGTTTCAGTCCATAACGGGACGTCCACCGGCTGTTTCAGTCCATAACGGGACGTCCACCGGCTGTTTCAGTCCATAACGGGACGTCTTCCGGCTGTTTCAGTCCATAACGAGACGTCCACCGGCTGTTTCAGTCCATAACGGGACGTCTACCGGCCGTTTTAGTCCATAACGGGACGTCCACCGGCCGTTTTAGTCCATAACGGGACGTCCACCAGCCGTTTCAGTCCATAACAGAATGTCTTCCGGCTGTTTTAGTCCATAACGGGACATCTACCGGCTGTTTTAGTCCATAACGGGACATCTACCGGCTGTTTTAGTCCATAACGGGACATCTACCAGCTGTTTTAGTCCATAACGGGACGTCTACCGGCTGTTTTAGTCCATAACGGGACGTCTACCGGCCGTTTTAGTCCATAACAGAATGTCTACCGGCTGTTTCAGTCCATAACGGGACGTCCACCGGCTGTTTCAGTCCATAACGGGACGTCCACCGGCTGTTTCAGTCCATAACGGGACGTCCACCGGCCGTTTTAGTCCATAACAGAATGTCTACCGGCTGTTTCAGTCCATAACGGGACGTCCACCGGCTGTTTCAGTCCATAACGGGACGTCCACCGGCTGTTTCAGTCCATAACGGGACGTCTTCCGGCTGTTTCAGTCCATAACGGGACGTCTTCCGGCTGTTTCCGTCCATAACGGGACGTCCACCGGCTGTTTCCGTCCATAACGGGACGTCCACCGGCCGTTTCAGTCCATAACGGGACGTCCACCGGCCGTTTCAGTCCATAACGGGACGTCCACCGGCCGTTTCAGTCCATAACGGGACGTCCACCGGCCGTTTCAGTCCATAACGGGACGTCCACCGGCCGTTTCCGTCCATAACGGGACGTCCACCGGCCGTTTCCGTCCATAACGGGACGTCCACCGGCCGTTTCCGTCCATAACGGGACGTCCACCGGCCGTTTCAGTCCATAACGGGACGTCCACCGGCCGTTTCAGTCCATAACGGGACGTCCACCGGCCGTTTCAGTCCATAACGGGACGTCCACCGGCCGTTTCAGTCCATAACGGGACGTCCACCGGCCGTTTCAGTCCATAACGGGACGTCCACCGGCCGTTTCCGTCCAAAACGGGACGTCCACCGGCCGTTTCCGTCCAAAACGGGACGTCCACCGGCCGTTTCAGTCCAAAACGGGACGTCCACCGGCCGTTTCCGTCCATAACGGGACGTCGACTGGCTGTTTCAGTGCATAACGGGACGTCCACCGGCCGTTTCCTTCCATAACGGGACGTCTACCGGCCGTTTTAGTCCATAACGGGACGTCCACCGGCTGTTTCAGTCCATAACGGGCGGCTGTTTCAGTCCATAACGGGACGTCTACCGGCCGTTTCAGTCCATAACGGGACGTCTACCGGCCGTTTCAGTCCATAACGGGACGTCCACCGGCCGTTTCCGTCCATAACGGGACGTCCACCGGCCGTTTTATTCCATAACGGGACGTCCACCAGCCGTTTCAGTCCATAACGGGACGTCCACCGGCCGTTTCAGTCCATAACGGGACGTCCACCGGCCGTTTCAGTCCATAACGGGACGTCCACCAGCCGTTTTAGTCCATAACGGGACGTCCACCGGCCGTTTTAGTCCATAACGGGACGTCCACCGGCCGTTTTAGTCCATAACGGGACGTCCACCGGCCGTTTCAGTCCATAACGGGACGTCCACCGGCCGTTTTAGTCCATAACGGGACGTCCACCAGCCGTTTCAGTCCATAAAGGGACGTCCACCATCCGTTTCAGTCCATAACGGGACGTCTACCATCCGTTTCAGTCCATAACGGGACGTCTACCGGCCGTTTTAGTCCATAACGGGACGTCCACCAGCTGTTTCCGTCCATAACGGGTCGTCCACCGGCTGTTTCAGTCTATAACGGGACGTCCACCGGCTGTTTCAGTGCATAACGGGACGTCCACCGGCTGTTTCAGTCATTCGGTTAAACAAACGTCTGGCTGGATCTTTGCTGCACGTGTTGTTGAGTTGCTTAAGTTCTGCATGTTTTTATCTTGTTAGTGGGTGAGCTCGACAGCGGCTCAATCAAGGTCCAAAAATGGCAGAATACGATGTACGCCGTGGACTCTGGCATCCAATCAGGAGCCACCACCATCAGAGATGAGGAATTTGAAGTCCCCGTCACCAAGAAGGTCTACATGACCACCACCGTCACTCAGCAGGAGCCTGGTAGGACAGCGCTGCACTCAGACCCGCCAGCAGGTCCAAAATTTCCTACTTTTAACGTCTCCCGTCTCAACAGACTTGGAACAGTACACAATGACCAGAGCCACTCGTGTGCGAGCTGCGCTGTTTCCCGAGTCGTTGGAGGATGGTGCCACCATACTGTCGACCCAGACCGACCCGTCCCAGATGACCAACGTCCAAAAACTGGCAGAGCCATCCCAGATGCTGAAGAATGCCATCATCCACCTGATCAACTACCAGGACGACGCAGAGCTGGCCACGCGCGCCATGCCCGAACTCGCCAAACTGCTCGGCGATGAAGACCAGGTGATGAACTCGACTGCTTTTCTATCTTGATGCTGTTGGAAAAGTGCTCTTTCACATTTGACGGTATAAAGGATACCTCAACAGGTGGTGGTCAGCAAAGCAGCGCAGATCGTCGACCAGCTGACACGTAAGGAGGCTTCACGGCGCGCGCTGATGCAGAACCATCAGATGGTGACGGCGGTGGTCCGGGCCATGCAGAACTCCAACGACATGGAGACAAACAAAGCTACGGCCAGCATCCTTCACAACCTATCCCACCAGAGAGAGGGCCTGCTCGCCATCTTCAAGACGGGAGGGATCCCTGCTCTGGTCCGCATGCTCAGGTACCGCTGAACCGATGAGCGGAGCTGCAGAGTGACGCCACGCCTTAGCTCAAAATCAACACAATTGGCTTTTTCTGGCCATCCTGAAAACTTGAACCCTTTATTCACTCAACTGTTGTGTCTTCTTCAGCTCTCCCTTTGAGCCCGTGCTCTTCTACGCCATCACCACCCTCCACAACCTGCTGCTGCACCAGGAGGGAGCCAAGATGGCCGTGCGCCTGGCGGACGGTCTGCAGAGGATGGTTCCTTTGCTGAAAAAGAACAACCCCAAGTTCCTGGCCATCACCACCGACTGTCTTCAGCTGCTGTCGTACGGAAACCAGGAGAGCAAGGTGTGTGTGTGTGTGTGTGTGTGTGTGTGTGTGTGTGTGTGTGTGTGTGTGTGTGTGTGTGTGTGTGTGTGTGTGTGTTTCTGTGTGTTTCTGTGTGTTTCTGTGTGTTTCTGTGTGTGCGTGCGTGCGTGTGTGTTTCTGTGTGTGTGTATTTCTGTGTATTTCTGTGTGTGTGTGTGTGTGGGGGGGGGGGGGGTGACAGTTTGTGCTTTTGGCTGGGAGACAATAACAGACACCCGTCGTGGTAATTTGAGAAGCTGTCCTGCGTTTGCGTGAGTTTTTGTTTCGGGTGTGGCCTGTGAACAGAGCTGTTCAGGTGCTGCCATGGCAACATAATAGGTGTGTTTTTCATTTCATGATGAGGGGGGGGGGGGGGGGTGAATAGGTACTACTGTTTCTTGGCAGATCACTGTTTTTATTTTCATTTGAAGAAGCACGATAAAGCAGCTCAAACTCCGTCTGTTCAAACAGCTGATCATCCTCGCTAACGGAGGCCCCGACGGTCTGGTGAGGATCATGCAAACCCAGAACTATGAGAAGCTGCTGTGGACCACAAGCAGAGTCCTCAAGGTCCTGTCGGTGTGTCCGAGCAACAAGCCAGCCATCGTGGAGGCCGGTATGTAAGGCGTGTGTGTGCGTGGATCACCTGTCTACAGGTTTGGCTGTGGTTGGTGGTTCAGCTCCTCCTGAGAGTTGGCTGAATTAGTCTTTTGTCCAATCAGGTGGGATGCAGGCTCTGGGGAAACACATCAAAAGCGGCAGTCAGCGCCTGAGTCAGAACTGCCTGTGGACACTCAGGAACCTGTCTGATGCCGCCACCAAGCAGGTCCGACCTCACCGTCACACACCTCATTCTTCAGTCTGCAAACGCTCGGCTCATCAGAAATGTCTCGTCTTTTCCTCCAGGACGGACTGGACAGCCTGCTGCAGAATCTGGTTGAACTCCTCAGCTCAGATGATGAGAACATGCTCACATGCGCCACCGGCATCCTGTCCAACCTCACGTGCAACAACGTCTACAACAAAACTCTGGTCACGCAGTGCAATGGCGTCGAGGCGCTGATCCACACCATTCTCCGCTCCGGGAGCAAGCAGGATGTGGTCGAGCCTGCCGCCTGTGCTTTGCGACATCTGACGTCTCGCCACCAACACGCTGATGTGGCGCAGAATCAAGTGAGGGAGTTTTACGGCATCTCCACCGTCGTCAAACTGCTCAACCAGCCGTACTATTGGCCAGTCATCAAGGTAGATGTTTGGGTCTAAGATGAATCGTAGACACAAACTCAGGTGGACTTTTGTTTTGTGATTTCAATTTTCCCTTTTTCTCGTCTGGAAGGCTGTGGTGGGCCTGATCCGTAACCTGGCCCTGTGCCCAGAAAACCAGCAGCCTCTCAAAGAATCAGGAGTCATCCCCCGCCTGGTCAACCTGCTGCTGAAGGCCCACCAGGACAACCAGAAGCATGGTTCATCCAGCCAACAGGCCTTCAAGGTGGGCGGTGGCCTGGTGTCACACTGAGCTGGCTTTGCTAGCACAACTTTGTTACCGATAACTCTTTTGTCATCAGGACGGGGTGAAGATGGAAGAGATCGTGGAGGGTTGCACTGGTGCTCTGCACATCCTCGCCAGAGATCCCATCAACAGAGAGGAAATAGCCCATTTGGATTCCATTCCTCTTCTCGTCCAGGTAAAAAATGAGGGAAAACTCCTGGCAGGATCGTTTTTGGTGTTTTTGTCTTCACACATGTTTGTCCTCTCCCCTGCAGCTGCTCTACTCTCCAGTGGACAACGTGAAGCGTGTGGCAGCAGGCGCCCTGTGTGAGCTGGCTCTGGACAGGCAGGCGGCCGCCCTGATCGACTCTGAGGGCGCCGCAGCTCCAATGATGGAGCTGCTGCACTCCCCCAACGAGGGCATCGGTGAGCCTGCACACACTAGGACATCAGAGAAACGTTGGGCCAAAAGTTTCCCGATAATTACAAATCTCTTCTTCTTCAGAAAACTTTTCACAAGCACAGCAGCAATCATATAAAGACCCTAACGCGCTTATGTTTTTATAATTATAGATGACTGTCATTTATTCAGAGATTTAAGTATTTAAAACGTTTTATTATGAAGTATTTTTGGCCTTTTTTTAAACGATAATGAAACAAAAACATATGAAAAATTACTTGATCTTGACGGGTAAAAATTTAGCCAATTAATCAGGCAATTTTAAATTGGCTATAAAATGATGTGAATTTAAAGACTAGTCGATCTCAAAGAGCAAGTCGCCCACAAATCAACTTTATTTTTGCTGAAACTACATAAACGAGTGTCGAATCGTGCTGCAGCCACGTTTAGTCAACTATCTGGCATTTTGGTTCAAACAGAAATGTTCTGCCTGAAACTGTCGGTGTCGCACTGTCTTCTGATAGGAATTCTGCACTGCCTTTGATTTTAAATCACTATTGGCTAAGAGGTACCTTATGATGTCACAATGTCATTGTGAGCCTGTGTGTGTGTGTTTGTTAGCGGCTCCGCCCTCTCGGTCTGCCAGGCAACAACATTTTTTCAAACAGGAAGTGGGAGTGGAGTAAGACTCTGGTAGGGGTGACTTGCTCTTTAAAGTAGCACTAAAGTGTTTCCTGTTACTCCCTCCTACTGGTTCAAAGTGGAATTACAACTGTCATAAACAACCCTGCAGTAGCCTGCCATAGCTAACAATGTGCTAACGCTAACAAGAGCCAACTAATACAAGAAAAAACCTCGAAGGAAAAAGATCTACACTGTTGGACAAAAAATATTTTTTACTAACGAGTCCAGTAGCAACAAAGCCAGGTCACCATCAGTCCATGATGTCATATCTAGGACTATCGAATATTTCAGTATTAGAATTTTCCACCATGGAAGCTGTGGTCATGTGACGCAAGTCTGTTCCATTTACTGTTTTCTTTGACCAGGGAAGGACGGTGAAGCAAGGCGCCTGGACATTGAGAAACACCTGCGCTTTTAGCTCTTTGCTCCAAAGATATTACTCTTAGTTTTTCTTCCAGGCTCCGCCATGATGCCAACAAAACAGGCTAACTTCTCTTTCTTCTACTTGTGCTTTTTACTGACTGTCGGTGAACTGAAAATGCTAACTGCTAGCCTTTATACTGACTAACCCTAACCAGCCATAAAGCAGGTAGTCCCCCACCAAGTGTCCCACAAAACTGTTCTCTGGTCAACCGAGTGCTGTGAAGTAGGGATGAGCGAGTGCACCACTATCTGTATCTGTTCAACCATCTAAATTATCTGTAACCGTATCTGTACTCGGAGTGGGTGTGGCCTAACCCGGAAATGGGTGTAGTTTAACCGAGACGTTATTTTAAGTCTGATCAGAAGTTGCTATGTGTATTGTTTAATTGAAAACTATTTACAGAGCAGCCTCAGAGTTGAGATTAAATGTTTTTGATCACAATAGTAAAGGAACTATTACAGAACAAGTTTTTCAGTAAAATCAGAACATTCATATTTAAGTGCATGAATTAAGAGAGAGAAGAAAAGATCTTATCTATAGCGCCTCTCAAGATAAAAACCACGAGGCGCTTCACAAAAACATGTAAAATAGAAAAAAGAATTTAGAAAATGATTACAATATATTTAAAATGAGCAAAAAATAAGACAATTGTGATTAAAAAATGTAAAGAAAGAGAGAGAGCGAATAGGAAAGAGGGAGTGGATCCTGAGGAAGAGGAGAGAGAGGAAAAAAATAAAAACCCCGACCGGAGCGGAGATAGTGACTGACGCAGCATGAGCCGTTTTCAGCTCTGTCTTGTCAAATGAACCACATACGTTATGAAAAAAGTAACTTTAAATATCTTTAAAGTAACTTTAAAAAGAGGTGAACTGAAGAAACGCGAGCAGTGAAGCAAGCACAGAGAGATCCGTTACTGTCTGTGTGTCTGCGTGGATGGACCGGACACGGACTGAGCTCCCGGTGCAGAGTTTTGTGTGTAGGGAGGGGCGGGCGCTCTATTTGACTGGCCAATCGCAGAGCGTGAAGACAGTCAGTTACCCAATGAGGATTTTCCTTCAGCACGATTACAGATATTTACGAGTTTTACTCGTTTCATGCTCATACTCCTCAAAAATGCTTTATCCGTACCGGATACTAGTCTGAAACGAGGATCCGGCTCATCCCTACTGTAAAGGTTCTACCGCCTGACTAGAACCGTTGAGCCCATTTTGAAAACAAAAGCCTAAAGTGTTAAAAACTCTAAAGCGTTGCTTTTCACAGATTAATCTACATCAAATATTTTATCTAAACTCTTCAAGACCACAGAGTTTTATTACTGTCTCCAAAGCTTTGCCTGGAAGGCGAAACATGTAGTCTGGTGTGTTTTTTACGCTTCATTTGAAGACCTGCCAGTTTGCACCTCCAACAATGGGCTGTTGTTATGGTAACGCCAGAACTAAAGTCCCTAGATGAGTAAAATAAATCTTTAGTTGGACCAAAACATCTGCTAGTGATCCGTTAAACTGATGATCAGGCCGATCCAAATGAGTGGAGACAAAAATAGTACTTCAGATGTAATATTTAGTCGTTTGTTTTTTCTACTGTCCCAGTCAGAGGGTTTGGGTTTTTTTTAAAGCTCTGAATTAATCTGCTGCCGTTTGTCTGTAATGTGTGAAAAATGTGACCTTTAACCTAGTTTAATTGCCCTTTCAGCCCTCATACTGCACTGCTAAAGTTGCCGGGCAGGGTTTTGGATATTTGACACACCTTTATTCTGCTGTGACATTTTCTGAGTGACCACCACGGCGTGGTTCCAGGTTTTGTAGAATTTCCCGACTCAGTTTCCTTTCTCTGCATCGCTGAACGTTGTCTGAATCTTGCCCTCCAGCTACGTACGCTGCAGCCGTGCTCTTCCGCATCTCTGAGGATAAGCCGGTAGACTACAAGAAGCGTGTGTCCGTGGAGCTCACGCACTCTCTGTTCAAGCAGGACCCCGAGGCCTGGGAGGCGGTGAGTGTGCTTCGCCCTCTGCTGACACGTCTACACATTTCATTAAATAAGGAATTTCCTTTTTAAATATTCTTTAGAAAACACACAGCAGCACTGCTGATGATGTGCTGGTTGGACTTGACCTTTAGCCTTTTGTTGTCCACAGGCCCACAACACCCTTCTGATGGAGTCAAACTATCCAGAGGGTGAGTTGTCTGGCTGATTTGTGCCCGTACAGCACATTCCTCTGCAGTGACACCACAGCGTGCAACTGCAGCAGGAACGTGTCCACAGACTTTTATCTGCAGATATTTGGCAGCTAAAATCTTTCTTGGTGTTTTTAACAAAACGCACGAGCTCTGGGGACTGGAAAAAAAACTCCACCTAGTTATTGTTGTACTGTACTTTTATTAAAGCAGGCCTATAGACCTCCTTCAGCTTATCACCGTTAGCATGCTGCTCCTCATCTCATTCCTTTCCTTTTATGGCTGAAGTATTTTATTGCTCCCCTTAAGCTGAGTGAAGTAAAAAACTCACATCTGTAGCTTTTTTTAAACCACTTTCTTCAAAAGTCAGAATGATGCAATTCTTTTGTTTTTTTGTGTAAATAATAACCAGATAAATGTTATGACTGACCTCTAGAGCCACTAGATGGTGGTTTCCATGGCTACGGATACCCAGAAATGCCCATGGATGGCATTGATCCACATATGATGCAGGAGGATCTTCCACCTGGCATGGGCTATGACGGCCAGTACCGCGACCAATATTAACGGTCAGTAGATGGTCTTTTATTGTTCACTCTTAACAAGAAGAGTCCCCCTTTCTATGAGCTCACCACTCGTGGGAGGGGCCATTGTGTTTTGAGTGGTAGCCGAAGGCGGGGACCATGGCGGGCTGGTCCTCGGCTACAGGAGCTGGCTCTCGGTATGTGAATGTCACCTCCCTGCTGAGGAAAGAGCCGGAGTTGGTGGATGAGGTAGAGAGGTTCCAACTAGATATAATCGTATCACTTGTAAGTTGCTTTGGACAAAAGTGTCTGCTAAATACATAAACAAAATCTGACTCGCCTCAACACATGGCTCTGGCTCCAGAACCAGTTTCCTCAAGAGGGGCTTGACTTTCTACCACGCTGGAGTTGCTCCCACTGAGAGGCGCCGAGTAGGGGTGGGCATACTTGTTGCACCCCATGTAACAACACCAGGGAGACGAGAAGATACACGTAACAACACCAGGGAGACGAGGAGACGCGTGTAACAACACCAGGGAGACGAGATGCGTGTAACAACACCAGGGAGACGAGAAGATACGTGTAACAACACCAGGGAGACGAGAAGATACGTGTAACAACACCAGGGAGACGAGAAGATACGTGTAACAACACCAGGGAGACGAGGAGATACGTGTAACAACACCAGGGAGACGAGGAGATACGTGTAACAACACCAGGGAGACGAGGAGATACGTGTAACAACACCAGGGAGACGAGGAGATACGTGTAACAACACCAGGGAGACGAGATACGTGTAACAACACCAGGGAGACGAGATACGTGTAACAACACCAGGGAGACGAGATACGTGTAACAACACCAGGGAGACGAGAAGATACGTGTAACAACACCAGGGAGACGAGAAGATACGTGTAACAACACCAGGGAGACGAGGAGATACGTGTAACAACACCAGGGAGACGAGGAGATACGTGTAACAACACCAGGGAGACGAGGAGATACGTATAACAACACCAGGGAGACGAGGAGATACGTGTAACAACACCAGGGAGACGAGGAGATACGTGTAACAACACCAGGGAGACGAGGAGATACGTGTAACAACACCAGGGGGACGAGATACGTGTAACACCAGGGGGACGAGATACGTGTAACAACACCAGGGAGACGAGATACGTGTAACAACACCAGGGAGACGAGATACGTGTAACAACACCAGGGAGACGAGATACGTGTAACACCAGGGAGATTAGAAGTTATATGTAACAACACCAGGGAGATGAGAAGTTACATGTAACACTAGGGAGACGAGATATGTGTAACAACACCAGGGAGATTTGAAGTTACATGTAACAACACCAGGGAGATGAGAAGACACGTGTAACAACACAAGGGAGATGAGAAGACACGTGTAACAACACCAGGGAGATGAGAAGTTACATGTAACACCAGGGAGACGAGATACGTGTAACAACACCAGGGAGATTAGAAGTTACATGTAACAACACCAGGGAGATGAGAAGACACATGTAACAACACAAGGGAGATGAGAAGATACGTGTAACAACACCAGGGAGACGAGATACGTGTAACACCAGGGAGATTAGAAGTTATATGTAACAACACCAGGGAGATGAGAAGTTACATGTAACACCAGGGAGACGAGATACGTGTAACAACACCAGGGAGATTAGAAGTTACATGTAACAACACCAGGGAGATGAGAAGACACGTGTAACAACACCAGGGAGATGAGGAGTTACATGTAACACCAGGGAGACGAGATACATGTAACAACACAAGGGAGATGAGAAGACACGTGTAACAACACCAGGGAGATGAGGAGTTGCATGTAACACCAGGGAGACGAGATACATGTAACAACACAAGGGAGACTAGAAGATACATGTAACAACACCAGGGAGACTAGAAGATACATGTAACAACACATTTCTCTCTATTTGTCTGTAAACAACAGTTACATTTTTATGTTTCCTAAAAACAATATTTTAATCCATGCTTTAAGGAGAACTTCTTAAAAAGTTGCTCCCGTTGAGATTTGAAATGGATCTTCATCCCCAAATACAGCATTAGATTAATACTACTATTAAATAATAAATTAATATTCTTGAAGGACACGTCGATGCCATGAAAATCCTGGAATAATTTTGTGTCTGCTCAATTTTTTCCTGTTGTCGATCCACAGGGAAACAAACGGGAGGAGGAGGAGGAGGCAGAAGATCTAAAGTGAGCTGCAAAGGGATGAAGAGGTGTTGGTTCTAGTCACCCCCTTTGCTCTCCACCTGCTGTAATATTTGCAACTCATTAAGTTTTTGACTCATAACCTTAACAGGGCTCAACTTGTGTTTAATAGAATCATCTCTGCTTTCAGATTTTAAGTGACAGTGATGATGCTTTTTAGGTTTGTGTTAGAAAACCTTAGCAAGAGGTGTGTGTGTGTGTGTGTGTGTGTGTGTGTGTGTGTGTGTGTGTGTGTGTGTGTGTGTGTGTGTGTGTGTGTGTGTGTGTGTGTGTGTGTGTGTGTGTGTGTGTGTGTGTGTGTGTGTGTACACGCTTCTGGGTGGGTGTTTTACGCCAAAGAGATTTTTATTTTGTGATGATAATCATGTAACCTTTCATTTTATTTTTAAACAAATAGAAAGAGAATATTTAAGGACACGGCCAGAGTGGCTCGCCCCACCGCGCTGCCCCTCGCCGCGGGGTTTTTACACCTTTTAACAAACAAAATGACTTCTGACACTTTGTTCTGTGGCTGATGTCCCACTGTGAGCCTTTTGATTAACATTTTCTTGTGGCAATAATTCAGTATGAGGGAACAAAGAGGCTTTAAAATGCCCTGCACCAGATGTGTTTGGTGGGAATCACAAACACTTGCCTTTCTCATTGTTCGCCCTCATCTCTTTGAAGATCGATGTTTTTGCTCTTAGAGTAAGTTTTACACGGATATCTGTGGCTGTGATGAGGAAAACCACGCGGATGATTCAGACATCTGTTTGATTCGCTCGTCACGCGAGAGGCTTCAGTCTGCACGGCCAGCAGCTGGAGGAAACTACTGACAGGGACGCTTTTTATTTGACTTCATAAGAGTTTTTACTGAACATTTGTTTAATAAAAATAAAGAATATATGAAATGTGAAATGATTTCTGGAGTTCTTGATTTCCACATCAGAAAAGCTGCATTTGTTTGGAGGTTTGATCCAAATACATAAAAAAGCATCTTTACATTTCTGTGCACAACAAGCTGAAGACGTGTGGTTTAGCTTCAAATCTGCATGTTCGCACATTAGTTTGACCGTTTAGATCCGCGTAGGTTTTCTGTTTAACCAAAACTGGCGAAGAAATAAACAAAGCTTTTATTTCTGAAACTAAATTAGATTTAAAGTCCTAATAAAGACATAATGAAAGGTCTTGAATATAAGTTTAAAGACACAATTATGAGCTTGTAAGTCGTAAGAGTTTACATTCATAACGGAGTTTAAATCAAAGTTTATCCGTCAGTTTAAAGTATGAGATTTAAAGCCATAATAAAGGATCTTATTAGTTTTAAGGCTTTAATTATGATTCCTAAAGCCATGACAGATTCAAAATCAATATTGTGAATTTGAAACTTAACAATTAGATATAAATCATAAGTTTTTTTTAATTATTATGATGCAAAGTCATAATTTCAAACCATGTGACTGTCTTTGTCCCAAATAATGAAAATGAACCCAAACACATGAAACCAATCAGAAATAAAATGAGTGGATGTGCAGAGAATCTGTTTTTATTCGTTTCACTGTCAGTGGAACCGTTTCCTGTGGAAAATGTTTCATCGAGTGGTCGGTAAAGGAAGAGCTTCATGCAGGCTTCAGAGCCCGCTACAGTAAACGGTGGTGCGGAGTTTGTGAGGACAGGAGGATGTTACCATGGAGACCGTCGCTTCCGCTCAGACTTGAAGCTTTCTACCATCAGAGCACGAGCCGACTCAGAAACTGTCTCCTTCTGCTCCGTCTCTTCCAGTTTTAGGAAAGGTGGCTTTAAAGTAGAAACCCTCCACTCACACACACACACAGTCCTGCTCCAGGAAGACGGGGAACTTCAGGTCTCCTGTTTGAATTCAGATCACGTTATCAAACATGTGCATGGACTGCACGATGTTCCCGTCCTGGATGAAGGACAACGTAGACCATCTCTGTTCAGAATCACTGCTGTGGTGTGAAATGTTCGTGCTTAAGATCGCTGAACTTCTACTGACCTTTTGACACATCTCCAAAAACTCCTCCACGGTGACAACTCCGTCTTTATTCTTGTCCATTTTCTGGAGGAAATGTGGCACAAAAGCGACAAATGTAGTAAAAACATCCGTGATTTATCTTTAAGTGGCTCAAACAGTAACATGTGAAAATGCAAATATGGACGAAATCATTGGTAACTTTTAAGGGCTTAACAGCATCATATCATAGAAACCTGTTAAAGCTGAAATCTCCATGAACTTCTGACCTTCTCACCACGCCGACTCAAACTTTAGAGATGAAATGATTCCATAAATGCTGCAATCCAGTTTCAAGAGATGCGGATGGGCGTTAAGTCATTTAATGTTAAATTAGTCTTGAATAATTAATGTTAAAAGAAGCTGCATTTCCCAGGCCTGAATAAGCAAAAAGGTAAATGATTTCCTGCTGTTTCATGTAGAAATAATCATTAAAGGCCAAGTCCAGTGATGTGCATCTGCAGTGGGCTCTAAACGAATGCCTTGTGAGTCGATCTCTGGAAAATGTTTTATCTCATCATGTAAAACTCAGAGTGACCGAATCTGTTTCAGTTACAAGTAAAAAGTGGTTTCCCAGTGAACTTGGCCTTTAAATAATCGCATGACTTTTGGAGCAGCAGGTGAGTAGTACCTGGAAGAAGATGTTGACGTGTTCCTTTGGAGCGCTGTCCCTCAAGCTGGGGTACGTGTGCTTCCCCATCATGTTATAGATGGAGTGCATCATTTCTGTCATCTCCTGGACCAAACACAAGTAAACGGCATGGATGGTGTATCAACACGGGTCCGTTCACGGACGGTTGAAGGTTCAGGTACCTCTCTGGTGATGCAGCCATCCTTGTTGAGATCATAAAGATTGAAGACCCAGTTGAGTCGATCGGTGATGGAGCCTCTCAGGATGATGGATAGACTCACAACAAAGTCCTGCAGGACGAAGGAAACGAAGACACGAGAAAAATGACTTCAAAGCTTAAATGTATTAGAATGATCTGCTTTCACGGCGATTTGTGGTTTAAATTCTGACCACAGCGGTCCAGAAGGTTGTGTTGCTGCTTTTTGCCGTTTAACTGTGACTGATTTGTTGGTATTGCCTCCTCAGTGGTAGAGTGTCCATCCTGGGACTGGGAGATCAGGGTTCAAGTCCAAATACCAAAACTTTAACAACGGGACCCAACGCCTCCCTGCTTGACACTCCGCTTTGAGGGGCTGGATTGGGGGTTAAGCCACCACGTGGTTCCCGAGCGCAGCCGCTGCTGCAGCTCACCTCTCCCCACGGGGATGGGTCACATGTGGAGATGAATTTCACCAGACTTTGAACCTCTCTCCCCCTGAGCCTGAGATCAGTGGACTCCTTTAAACTCACCTGTTCAGGCTTTGGTGGGACCTTCATCACCTCCTCTCCTTAAGACTGATGTGGTCATCGTGCCTCACGGAGGTTTATCACGAACTGTAAACCACTGACCCATCGTGGTGAGTTGTGTTCTCCAGTGGGATGGCCTTCTTTATCCACCAGGAGGTTGGGACATTGGTGCACCTTCATTTATAAGGCCATGCTTGGATTACTACCCACCTACAAGTCAAGTGTAACTTCTCGCTCGTTTGCTCTCACCGAACTGGGCAAAAGGGCTTTAGTTCACTCTGCTCCCTCTGCATGGTCCAGGCTGCAGGAAAACTGGAAGTTAACCCAGTTTATCTCCTTAAATACATTTAAAACCAGAGTGAACCCTTGAGACGTTGTAACTGCCTTTAGTAATCTAGTACACAACATGTCTGTGTAACTGAAATATTTGTAACTAACTTTTGCTAACTCGTGGCCAGGACTACTGTTGGGTTTCTAATCTCAACAGGTTCTTCCTGGTTCTGCTCCTTCCACCTGTTCCTCCTTTCCCGGGATCCTCAGATTCACTCTTTCCTATTCACTTTCTCTCCCTTTCCTTACATTTTTTTAATCATAATTATTTTTTCTTGTCATTTTAAACATATTTTTAATCATTTTTTAAAATCTTTTTTCATCTGGAGAGGCGCTGTAGGAAAGATCGTTTTCTTTCTGTCAGTGTGTGATGGTGACTGATGGGACTTTCTGACTAATACATTTGCATTATGACTTTTGCATTATGACTTTTGCATTATGACGTTTGCATTATGACGTTTGCATTATGACTTTTGCATTATGACGTTTGCATTATGACATTTGCATTATGACGTTTGCATTATGACGTTTGCATTATGACATTTGTCGTCTGTGTTTGAGCTCGTCGTCGTCGTTCTATTGTTTTGTATCTAGCTTTTTGTTGTTGTGTTGGCGTTTCTGAGCTTAGTTGAACCTTCTGGGCCCCCGTAGCAGAGATAATAATGGAGATGATCACATAAGAATCGATAAAGAAGATAAAAGAAGCGTTTTAAGTAAATAAAAGTGTCTCACTTCAAAGCTAACAGATCCGTGGTTGTGCGTGTCGAAAGCTTCAAACAGGAAGTGTGCATACATACTTGAGTCTGCAGAGGAGAACATGAATCAGCAGCTTGATCGCATTTTTCCTACTTCCTACTTTTAGACTTGCAATTGTGTTAATATTTAAAAGAACTTTTTCATGCAAGAGTTATTGGTGATAAACTGTAGTAGGTAACACTTCTCCATAAACATGTCATGTTTCAAGGTTTATGATTGTGACGGACCTCCCTGAGGAAAGAACTGTGAGTAGATGCTCTGAAATGTCTCCTCACTCACAACACCACTGGGACATTCCTGTGAATACCAGAGACACAAATCCATCCTCACAAACACAAACCATTTGGTAAATCCTCGTGTTTGTGGGACACGAAGAGAATCGGTGACTCTACGGGAATCGTTGGACTGACATTTTTAAAACCTCGGTAGAGGACCTGCAGCTCCTTCTTGGTGAACTTGGTCTGCTGAACGAGGCTGTCGAGGCCCTCTGGTCTGTAACACACTGTCGACACCTCACCCTCATCAGACGTGCTTCCTGCCAAAGAGGCACGAATAAGGAGGTTATTATATATATTAGGATGGGAGAAACAAATGGAGGTCAGTGAGGTGACACCTACGCTGAGAATTTGAAGACCTCAAGCCAGAGTGGTAGCAGGGCAGCAGTTTGAGGAAGTGCTGCTTCAAGGTCTTTTTGATGGGTTTGGATGGAGGATCACCTAAAAACACCAAAATTAGAGGCAGCTAGCTAAATGGATAACAATGCTCATTAAACGTTTCTTCATGAATGATAACAACCGGCAAATAAGAATAATTAAACAGTTTACACGCGTATACAAGAGGTTTAGCTATGTTCTACACGTTTGACATGTTTTATAGTCACAAACCAAGTTACGATGTTTAATATAATACAAAATCATTTTATCGACCCTCGGGGGACATTCTGGTGTCAGGAGCAACTTTATTCACAACAGGAGCGTAAAAAACTAAACAATAAAGAGCAAAATCAAAAAGTAAATAAGAAAACGTAATTCAGAAATACTTCAAAGTTTCCAAAAACTCAGAGATTCAAACATAAAAATATGATATCCATCCATCCATTTTCAGCCGCTTATCCGGAGTCAGGTCCCAGGGGCAGCAGCCTAAGCCCAGACTTCCCTCTCCCCGGCCACTCGGGCCAGCTCCTCCGGGGGAATCCTGAGGTAGTCCCTGGCCAGGTGAGAGACATAGTCCCTCCAGCGTGTCCTGGGTCTACCTTTAGGTCTCTTCCCGGTTAGACGTGCCCGGAAAACCTCACCAGGGAGGCGTCCAATATTATAAGTCAGTTTTATGGATTTAGAAATTATAATTATAAGTTCTAAAGAAGAGATTTTAGTCATCATTATGAATTAAGTCATGTTTTAGTTTTAAAGTCATAATTATGAGTTTTAAATTCTTTATATAGCTTCAGAGTCAATGTTGTGACTTTTTTAGTTATTTTATAATAATATTAATACATTTTATTTATAATGCACCTTACATTACAATCTCAACATGCTACC